ATCAGCCTACCTTTATCTGCCTGTCTGTCTTCAGGTTTACATCCCCCCCCCCCAGCCTCTGCCTAGGGAAAGGGTAGTCTTTCCCTGCAGTGGGAACCAAAGCAGCTGACATCATTCTCCTCTCCCCCGTATGATCCGCACAACTACCCTATGAGGTATGTTAAGGTTGAAAGTGTGTGAATGGTCCATAATCCCCCAGGCACCTTTTAAAACATAAACCTGGGACCTGCACACCACCAGAATACAGCAGGTTCCATATGCAACTGACATTCCAACTGCCTTGCGGGGGGGGGGGGGTGAGGTGTGGAATGGAGTGAAGTCCAATCAGCTTCCATATGCAAAAGACCTTGAAACGCTGGGCGGGACTGCACAAAGCAGCCAGTCAACCCAGCCAGCGTCTTCTGACTGACAGTTCAAGCGTCCATACACTAAAGGTGTGCATTTGGAATGTTGGTCCCCACTACTGCTTTATAATATAAGGGAGAGATATGTCATATTTTAGATCGCAAAGTCTTCAAGATCTGTTTCCAGAAAGGGCCAGCCATGTTAATCTAATACCACCTTTTCATTCTAGCATAAAATGCCACAGAGAAGAGCACTCTAGCCTATGAAAGCTTATGCAAGAGTAAGAACTCATTGGCCTTTAAAGTGCCACTTCAAGACATCCTATTTGTCTTCCAAAGCTGTTGCCTTCTTGTCCTCTCTAAACCACCACACGCAGCATGAAGACGTGAGCAGTGACTCAGGAAAGCTCCTACCTTGCCACATATTCTGTTGGTCTTTAAGGTGCTATGAGCCCGGCACCACTCCTGGTGGACACTTCCGAGGCGCCCCCACGTAGATCCCGGCTGGCTGGGCTGCTCGGGGTCCTCCTGCAACCCACAGAGCTGGGCGTTTGGGGGAGGGCCCGGACCAATGGAGGCATGGACTGACAGCCTGCAGACGAGGGTGCTGGCACTGGGGGAGAGGGGGAGCCGGGAGAGGGCAGGAATGGGGGTGAGCGCTGGAGGACAGGGCGGGAGTTGCTTCTACTTCTCCCCCCCCCCCGACAGGCTCCCGCATGGAGGCTGTGAAAAAGTGCTGGCCAGAAGAGAAGGCAGGGGGGGTGAACCCCCTCCCCCGGGCTGTGAGTGAGGCGAGCGAGGGGAGAGGCGGGTTTCCTGGCAGAGATGGCGCTGTTTCCTGGCAGAGACAGGCGACCTCACGGCTGCTCCCCACTGCGCCTTCGGCTCCCCTTGGGCAAGTGGGTCGCCCTCCCAGAAAGGTGGGCGATTTACTACCCTGTTTAGGCGAGGGGGCGGGGCAGCAGGCCAGCGGGATGCCCCCTCTTAAGGGGCTGCTCCAGGCCGCTGCCTAAAAATTGTCTATGACGGGCCAGCCCTGCAGAGGGCGCCACAGAACCCACGAGCACCACATTGGGGACCCCTGGTTTAGGGATTTTACTACAGGCATGCCTTGTGAAGTTATTTCAGATGGTATTTACACATGCAAACAGCTGTGCAGGCGCACAGTGTAAGCAACTCATGATTTTATCATTCCCATCTCTCTGCTTCAAGGCCCTTCCATTCCAAGGGCAGCCCTTATACCCTTGTCTTCTACAAAGTGATTATCAGAATGACTACTGAGTGCAAAGAACCTGTATTACTGCGGCCCTGATCTTCAGTGCCAAAAAAATAAATAAAAATAAACAGCATATGCAGCCCTGGCAGAGATCTGAACATTTGGCTTTGGAACAGAAATAATTCCCAAGATTGCCCAAGAGCTTTATATCTACTCCTACAGCATAGCGATAAGCTTTCCAAGAAAATCCCTATTTTAGGCAGCATCTACTGTCAAGGAGGGAACTTCAGGGAAGGCTGTGAATGTGTTGACAGGTTTGGGTGGATTCCATAAAAGACATTCTCCCATGTTTCCAGCACACGTACATAGTGTGATTAAGGAAGCACAGCCCACAACTCTTCATCCAACCACATGACAGGTGTGGGGCCACTGAGCCTTGCGCAAGTTGAAATGACTCTACACACAAAAAAAGTGGAAATCCAAGCATGGACAATCCTGAACCACAGTTTCCCCCCACCATACCATTCTTCAGTGCACAGGGAAGTACAAACAGGAAGCCCAAGAACTTTGGAACAACAGATTAGAAGACATCAGGAAGTCACATCCAAATCTTGCCACCAAGTTAACCTACATAGTCTCATTTCAGTGTGCTGAAAACTGGGGGAGTGGGGGGGGGAGGATATATGCAGTATACCTCCGGTTCATGAAAAGATGTCTGGCTTTTGACCAAAAACCCCTCCCCAAATGTGTGAAAATTTGTAGTTTTTACATCTCAATGTTGTCAGCCATTGCAAACTTCAGAGTAACACATCTGAGATCATATTATTAATTCCCCTCCACTCTGCCCAACTACTGTTACTTAGAATCCATGCATTTCATTGCATTACTGCTACCCTCAAAGGCCAGGTAAAATTTGATTAATTCTAGAGTATAAAAAATGTGCTAGTAGTTTGAAAAATTGAGTAGTCAAGTTAATAACCTCCACATTAAGTCTTTACTACTGCCATTTGCTTTTATGACATTTTCAGTTAGCTGGTCTTCTTCCACAATCCAAATCCCACTAAATGAACAGCAAACCTCCCCTCCATTTAAACCTACCTGGATTGTTGCCTTTTAAAATAGTAATTGAGTAAAACATATCAGAGGCTCATCTCCTGCAAATACAGTTTGATCATCCCAGACTGCACACAATGGTACTGCAATAAATCAGCAAAATAGGAGTACTCTTGTGTGCCACTTTATTTGGAACAGCATAGTCATAAAAATTCATTATAAAGCACCTATCCCAGCCCTTGATACATTTGTATTACTAGAACACATACTTTGCTCTTGATGAATAGATTTTGATTCAGCAGTTTCCAAAGCAGTTTTATTTTGGAGAGCAGCTGCTTGTGTCTGTTGGAATGATGCTTTCCCAGGACCTTTGCTATCACTCAAAAGGAGAGTTGGAGAGGAGGAACAAGATACCTATGGGAAAAGTTCAAAGTCTTAGAGAAAAGATATGATTGGTCATCATTGTCAAGCCAGACAGACAACTGGCTGACCCTGGGATGAGGTTCCACAACCGTATCATCTTTCCTAGGGTCCGGGAGAGTTTTATCACACATAGCAAGTGCAGATGATTTTCTAACCTTAGGGAGGAGGAACCCATGCCACTTTGTACGTTTAAAAGAATGGTTGAACAATTGACTGATTCCCTGATTCCCTAACTCCAGCATGGGAACATTCATTAACTCCTCCCCACCACACACACCTTCTCTCCTATGACTACACCACACTATTTCACAAAACCTTCTTTGAATCATGCAGCTTCTGTCTTTACAGCCTATTAATATTTAGCAAAATACACTTGTATGAAAACTTCAAGCATTTTTAACCCACCAGAATTTCAAGCATTTTTAACCCACCAGACTGGGCTTGCCTGTGATGTTATATCTGTTCTACTCTTTGCACACGATGACTATCAAGGTGGAAGAGGTTCAAGACAGTGAGTTGCCTGGCTCGCACAATGTTCCAGGTTCAGTCCCTGCAATCTCCCATTAAAGGATGTCAGGTAGTAGGGAATGGCAAAGACCCTAGAGAGTCATTAACAGTCAGAGGAAACAACACTGAGCTAGATAGGCCAATAGTTTAATTTAGGAGGAGACAGGCTCATGTATCCATGTAGGAAGGTATTAACTGCAGCCATTTTTGAAAAGCCCACTTTCAGTGTTGCATATCCTCTGCCTTTGCATTTGGGAGATTCAACAGCCTTTTAGGTAGGAGAATAACTTCAGAACTTTTATTGGCTATTCCATACTTAATAGATTATGGGTTGAGCTGCTCAGCTGAATGAAGAAACTTCCTATAGCAGAGGAAGGTTAGGTGAGCAAAGTGGTACAATACAATCCTACTAAGAACAAGTGGTGTGGCTCCCATTGTCAGCCATGTAATGTCCACTTCAACAGTCTCCCATAAATACAAGTTATCAGAAGTACCAAGAGGTTAGATCAGTGGTTCCCAAAGCAAGTGGTACCATCATGGGGGGTGGGTGGGATTACTTAGGAGGGACTAATGGGCAACAGTGTTCATTTATTTATAATTGACCACGCTAGAGCCTAGAGTTGAACATTTTCCTTGCTTCATCCTTAAAGATGTACTCCTCTAAGATTTATTTCCTTTGCTTATAGATCCAGGTAGTCAGCCATTTTGGTCTGAAGCAGCAGAACAAATTTAGAGTCCAGTGGCACCTTCAAGACCAGCAAAGGTTTATATTCAAAGTATGAGCTTTCGTGTGCAGGGTACACTTTTCCAAATATTTCGTATTTGAAAAAATATTTCGTATTTTCGTATTTGAAAAAGTGTGCCTTGCATGTGAAAGCTCATACCTTGAATAAACCTTTGTTGGTCTTAAAGGTGCCACTGGACTCTAAATTTGTTTGCTTATGTTTGTTTGTATTTACAATTCTGAGATGTCACAAGTTACAAGACAGCCAGTGGCACTCCAAGGTTCTGCCTCTGCATACTCCTGAAATCTGTTGGAAACTATCGGAATTTTTAGTAAATGTGCCACCAGAGCTCTAGTCAGACGAGTATATTGTGTTTTGAGAAACTGATTCCGAACACTTGCTGCTTCAAACGGAAGTTTATCGCCTATCAAAAGGCAACACTGGTGAGACACTTTTACGATCTTTTTGACAATGTTGTGGAGCTTTTGAAGACATGAATGCTTTGCTCAAAGAGATCAGGCATGACATTGCTTATTTATCAAAAGTATTCGCAAAGTTTGATGAATTTGCAGTTGCAACGAAATGAGTTCACTCAGTCATCTATACAGTTATTTCAAAATTAACTCTATTCAAACACAATATAGTGTCAGACACTATATCAATTTCTGAGCTTGTTTGAAGACAAAGATGAAATATAAAATGATAATCTACAAGATTTTTGTGACCATTTGGATATGAGGATTTGATTATGATAATGATGATATGCTGCATGAAGTCTGAGTGGTCTGAGGACCTTCTTTCAATTGAAATTCCAGATTGGGTGTTAAGTCTGAGGCACTGAGGAAGTTGTGAAGGTGGAGGAAGAACGAATAGAACTACAAAATAACAGTGAGCTGAAGCTAAAGCTTAAGTAATTGTACCAACAGTTTGGGTTACAGAAGGAAATTTCTGATCGCTGTCCTGCACTGTGGACAGTGTTAAGAGCACCTTGTTGCATTTCCAATATCATATTTGGTGGAAGCAATTTTAGTGTGATCATCCAACTTCTCTGCAAGCAAAGAAATCATCTCCAGATTACTTATCAGGGTGATTTACAACTCCTGCTAAGTGACTTTAAACCAGACATTGAGAAACTGGTACCACTTCATCAAGCCCATCCATCACATTAAGAATTTACTGAACAGTGAAGCAGTTACTAAATGTAGTATCTAAGATTCTTGCTAAATGTCTTTGAAAAGATGGTATCACTGGATCTAGTCCATCAATTTTGTTGAATAAATCAAACTAAAATGTTTTAATTGGATTTGGAATAAATGCGCAATTATTAGTTATGATTTTATTTTTTTAACTTCCTTACTGGGTCATACAAACCACTATTCTGAAAAATGCTTTTTTAAAGGGTAGGATGGGGAGCACAGAGGATGAGTTTATGGAACCAAGGGGGCGATGGCCCAAATAAGTTTGGGAACCACTGGGTTCTATGGCTACTATGAACATTAAAACACCCAGTTCCGAACAGCATATTTACCTCTGAAAGCTTGTGAGGAGTTGGGATGATGGAAGGGTGGGTTTCCAGTAAGCTACTTTGAGTGGCTTGATGAACTGGAGTGCAATTTAGTGGGGACACAACAGCCACCATGCCTAGAGGTAAAACAAGGAGAAGAAGAAAAATGCCACTGCCTCTATACAGGGGTCATTTCATAGAAAAAGAGGTGCAGGAGCTAATTAGCATTACTCATTAGCATAACTTATTTGCATATGTCACACCCCCTGACATCACTGGAAGTGTGTCAGAAGGCAACACCCACCACTCAGGCTCCACTGGACTGTTTTGGATTTCTAGCTATTGGGGGTGTGTGGAACATACAGATCTGTCCCTCACAGAGGAGGGAGAGCTTGTACCTGGATAAAACTTGGTCTTAAAGGTGCCACTGGACTGTTTTGGGCCGGGGGGGGGGGGGGGCTCCGCAACTTACCTGGCTGCTTCTTGCTCTGACTGAGGACTGCTGGGAGCAGAGGATGGGGCTTGTTGTATATGCCCGCCCCCTGGGGTCTTTACTGCCGGAGCTCCGCTCCTGTGCGCTCCTGCAGGAAATGACCCCTGCCTCTATATACAAAATCCAAGGGATGCAGCAATGCACAAACAATGTTTGCTCAATGTAAGGGTTCAAACCATCGTAGGGGAACCCCCCCCCCCTAGAAATAGCTTGAAATAATTCCCATTTGGTATGGCTCCTCACTTAAAAAAACAACAACAGTTCACATAATACTGACATAATTATTTCCCCTATTCAGTTCACTATTTAATGTTAGTATTGGGTCCAGTGGTCCCCATCACATGTAGATGTGGTGCTTTTTTGATCACCACACCTATGCAAGATTAAAAACCTAATCAGATGAAAAACACTCAGACATTTTCACACAGCCCTGTCTCAGCTGGGATCGAAATATCTGGAGATGCAATGAGGTACTATCCACTTGTGAGGTAGCATAAATACACTGAGCTGCACAACCAGCCAGCCCTATATCTATTAAACTGAACAGCGCTGACAAGTTACTGCAGTAAATACAAGTCGGCCTATCAGAAAAAGGATACATTCTTTTAGTTCCACTTTACACACAATATTAAGTGTATTGTTGGAAGCACTGCCCCAAACATTGCCCAAACACACCATTGCAACTCATGCAAAATTTGTTCTTCTTCATACTCCATAATATAATAAACTATGCAGTTAAGAAGGCAGGGGCAGGAAAAGGAAGGGAAAATTAGGAATACAGTTAAATACAAACACAAATGAGACATAATTTGACTTGTATGCACCCAAGTGGTGGTTGTGGTGGGAGAATAACATGCCTTGCCAAAAAACTATGCCATGGACTCTGCAAAGACACCATAAGTCTCTAGTGGTCTCTCAGCAAAGGAATTTAAAACCCCATAAGCCCTGACCCAGGAATCTCTGAGATCCCTCCACAGTATGGTTTTATCTTCCCGCCATAGTACATGCAATGCTGCATTTGTGATCAATGATGGTGCACCCAGAATGACAGCATCATTGGGACCCACTGACTCTCTCTCTCTCTCCCTCTCTCTCAAGATTCACCTGGTGGAGAGAGGATGCTTTGTTCTGGCAATTTAAGAGGGGAGTGCTGTAAAGGCTGAGAGGTCTGCAGTATCTGATGGGGGAGCCTCGCTTCTGTTGAGCTGTGTGTCTGTGTGCTATTAGGCAAAATGTTTTGTGCTTGCGGAACAATACTGAAGGATGTCCTTTGATGAGGCACTGGCATCTGCTAGGGAAGAAATCAACAAAGGCAATTATTTTTATATTTGAATTTCTGAATTCCAAAACATCACATAAGGACTTCATGTAGGAGCCAGGTAGCACTCACTCTCAACTATAATGGAAGAACTGATTCAGGATGCATCTCAGAGATAAACAATATATAGGCAGGAGTTTTGGAAGATTTTTGCAATTAAGTCACAGCCACCTTATGGTGACTTCATAGGGTTTTCAAGGCAAGAGACATTCTGAGGTGGTTTTGCCATTGGCTACCTCTGCATAGCAACCCTGGGCTGAGCCTACTTAGCTTCCAAGATCTGATGAGATCACACTGACCTAGGCTGTCCAGGTCTGGGCAGGTACCTGTCATTAATTTATACAATGAAGCCAGTATATGTAGAAGAAACATCGGAAGCAGCTCTGTGTGTGTGTGTGTGGGGAATGCTACATTAGAAGAAAGATTGGGGGAAGTTTACCTTAATCTGCTCTTTGCAAAATAAATCCTTCTGCCTCTTTCCATTCTGCTTTAAGTGCATTTCTGTAAAATATGGGGAAATGTAACTTTTATGGTATATACATTTGGTGATGTTCTGTGCAGTTTTTCCATAATATATCCCTGGGTCAGTGTTCCCTCTAAGCTGAGTTAGTGTGAGCTAGTTCACAGTTTTTAGCTGCCGGCTCACACATTTTTGTCTTAGCTCAGGAAGGATGGCTCCAGAACAAACTAATTTATGCAGTAGCCAAATCGCTTGCTCACAACTTTAATGCCAGTAGCTCACAAAGTAGAATTTTTGCTCACAAGACTCCACGGCTTAGAGGGAGCATTGCCCTGGGTTATTCTTTATTCTTCTCTAATTTGTGGTTAATATAGTCTAGTGTACTAGTTATTTCCAGCAAAGGTATTCTCACCTCCTCCAGAGGAACATTAACTTAAAAGGTGCATCACAACACAACAGTCTACCAACCAACACCTTGGTCCACGCAGTAACTTGGGCTGCACATGGTGGTGAAAAGTGTGTGAGCCCCTCTTTTTATATCCGATACACATACACCTTAATATAGGACCTTTGCATCAGATGCCACATTGTGAGCAACTTCTCCATCACACAAAGATCTGCATCTGAAGTACTGTACTACTGTGGGTTGGATATCTGATTACAAATAATTCCGTTTGTTCGAAACTAGTAACTCCTGGTAACAGCTAGAGCCTGAAACAGCAAATAAATAAATAAATAAATAAAAAGTTTCTCAGTAAGTGCTAGTTTGGGGATAGTGTCCTCACAGCTCTATCCATCAGAGATTGGAGGAGAAGCACCTACCCAGCTGAGGGGAGGGATGGTAGATTGAGAGAAACAACAGACTTGAGTTTGGAAGACACAGACGCACAGGCACGCTTTGGCCAAAGCACCATGGAAGTGCTGGATCTCTTCCTGAAGATCTAATATATACACTTCAGTTTGCTTTACGTGTCTGGCTTAAGTCAGCTTGTGTGTTTCCCATACCAGTGACTTTGTAGATCTCCACTGGGTAGAACATACATTCGAGGCATATAAACAGTCTCATTCAGAGTCAGGCCACCACTTTCACTAGACAAACTGGGCTACAGTGTTCTGACTGGCTACAGTCCTCCAAGAGTTCGTGGTGAAGTCCTTCCTGGCTGTGGTGCAAGAGATGGCCATTTCCAGTTTACATGCTCTGCCACTGAGCTAAGGCTCCTTCTGCTCAGCCTCTTCCACTTTCTGTCCTGCATTACCACATTGATATGCAGAACCAAGACACTCCCAAGTTACTTCAAAGTGACATGGGGGCAAAAGCTGCTGACAACCAGTCAAGAGTTAATGTATGGAAAGAGGAATTAAAGTTTTCAATTTAGCCATGAGCTTAGCTTTCCCAGTAAGAAGTCCCAGTTTAGCCTAAGGCAGTGGCAAAGATCCCAGACCCATCGCTGAAGGAAGCTTAATTTAAAAAGAGAGAAAAAGAGCAAACCAGACTCAGAATCGGTGCTGTCAGAGGAGCTGGAGTCGTTGCTGCTACTCTCAGAGTCAGAAGAGGTGGTACTGCTGGTGGTGCTGCTGCTGCTTTCACTTAGCCGAGATGGTCCTCTGACAGTCTTTGGGATGGAATTATTTTCAGCTGGAAGACACAGAGAAAAAAGCAAACAGAATACGGATGATTATTTAGAATGTTTACACGCTGCCTTACTTCTTTTGACTCAGGGCAGCTAACAAACAACACAACAAGCTGCAAGGACACAAAACCAGGAGTCCATTAACAATATGAGTGGGCAGGGGGAGTACTAGAGGACAATGCCTTTAAAAGCTGGTGGAGGAGCGTTCTGCAATTTCTGCTGTGACTACAGACATTGCTTGCCAGATAACTGGGTTATTGGATAAATTATACGTCTGTGGCTGCAGGCTCTCCATGCTTTACAACATTACACTTTTCAATGTCAAAGTTTTACCTACATTTTGCATTCGGTTTCTTAGGGCTCAGTTGCCCATCGACATCTAGGAGCCTCCTCTCCAGTTCTTGTTTCTTCTCAAAATTAAGTTCTTCCTTCGACTTCTTTGCTGCACACATATATACACCGGGGGTGGGGGGTGGGTTGAGACACAGAGAAAAGAGGACATGAAGAGAGGATGAGGGACTACAACCGATTTTGTTTCAGGAAGAACCCATGTAGTTTTTCTTAACATTTTTGGGGATATTACATACACACCAGAATGTTTCTTGGGCCTTTTTCTTAAACAAGCGATTACGTATTCCTCCAGTTCCCTTAAAGTAGATGCTTTCAGATTCTCAAAGTCTATTTCTATTTCATCAGGATTAGAGTGGTGGAGCGAAGGTTCCCTTGACTGTATAATGTAGACCACCCTGCCAAGCTTCTTTCCTGGGAGTTTATTTATGTCCAAACTTAACTGCCTCTTTTCATCATAATTCATAGGTTTGGCATTATCCTCATCTTCAGAATTGTATACTGGCTCATCTTGCTGCTTGACTTTCTTTGATCGACTGCAAGAGAGAAATTTTTTTAAAAAGAGAGCTAACTGCAGTGCCAACAGCATAGAGTACAGATTCGCACCCACATGAGCAGCGGCACATCTTACATGTTCAAAGACATCTTCTTTCTTCGTTTCTTCATCTTTCTCTTTTTTTGACTCCCCAACTTGTTTTTGACTTTGCTTTTTCTTCTCTCTTTTGATTTTCCTTTCTTCTTCTTTTTCAGTTTGGGTAAGGTTGTTTTAGCCAAAGCTTGCAATTGCTGATGCACAGCCTTAAGCTATCAAAAAGAAAACACACACTGAAAGTGCTTGCTGCGTATTTTGAAGTCCCTAACAAAGCAATTACAGGGAGAATTGTAGAGGCCTAGAATCTGTTATTATTTTAAAAGCTGCTAAAGGAGACAAACTAATCTTTTAATCCTTCTCTGTTTTATAAAGTGGTTTTTGGGGGAAAGAATCCAATTATGTTGGAAACAGTGTGGTGGTACATCATGTGTAAGAAGAAGCTTTAGGAAGCAATTGCATTTGGACACTCTGAGTAGGGAAATTCCTGGAGATTTGTGGACAGAGCTTGGGGAAAACAGGATGCAACCTACGGTTGCCAACCTCCGGGTAGTGGTTGGAGATCTCCTGGGATTATAACTGATCTCCAGGCGACAGATCAGTTCACCTGGAGAAAATGGCCACTTGCAAGGTGGATTCTATGGTATTATAGCCCACTGAAGACCCTCTCCTCCACAAACCCTGTCTTCAGGCTCCACCCCCAAAATCTCCAGGTGTTTCCCAACCCAGAGCTGGCAAACCCTAGATGTCAGTGAGATATAATACCATAAAGTCCACCAGGGCTATTTTTGGGCAGGAACGCACAGGAACGGAGTTCCGGCTGGCTCCTGAGTTGGCCACGCCCCGCAGGAACTCATTAGCATAATAGGCCACACCCAACAGCAAAATTCATTAGCATATTAGGCCACACCCCTGACAGCAGAAACTCATTAGCATATTAGGCCACACCCCTGACAGCAGAAACTCATTAGCATATTAGGCCACACCCCTGACAGCACCGCTCATTAGCACATTAGGCCACACACCCCTAATGTAGCCAATCCTAATGAGTTTCTGCTGTCAGGGGTGTGGCCTAATATGCTAATGAATTTTGCTGTTGGGTGTGGCCTATTATGCAAATGAGTTCCTGCCGGGCTTTTTCTACAAAAAGAGCCCTGGTCCACCCTTCAGAGTAGCCATTTCCCCCCGGGGAAACTGATCTCTATAGTATGGAGATAGGGTGTCCAAGTATCTAGAGCACAGATACATTAGCATTTCCACCTTATTCATCAGGACAGTTTCCTAATATTAAAAAACAACACAACTTCACTGTGTAACTCCTCATTCCTAGACCAGCCCACTCACATGCTCTTGTCTCTCTTTCCTCAATCAGCCTTCTAATTGTAGCCAATAAGAGCAAAACAAGGTCCAGAGTAGATCAGGAAGAAAATTACAGCAGTCCTGCCCCTTCCTGTTCAGCCACCAATAGATGATAATCATTTCCTTGCTTGTCAGTTATACCTAGTGTTACATTTATAAGTATCTTTATACCTCTTGCATTATCTCATTTCTCTCCAAACTTGCAAGCTAGGGAGAAAGATAACAGAAAAGCTGCAAAGGAAAGCCATCAGCAAGGAGGAGAAATGTTTTACCATAAGTGGATCAGTATTTAAGAACTATCAACAGGCATAGTTTATAGGACCGGCATTCATCAGATGCAGAGAATGCAGCTGGGACAAAAGGTTGGCAATATTCCAAGAATGAATGTGACTTGTGCCACCACCTCATGTAATCATCAAAACATTTGAAAAGATATCTGCTTTCTACATTAAAATATAATCTGTTCAAACACAAAACGATGAGCCACGCCTAAGAGAAACCAGGTGGGGGGGGGGAGGGGGCACACATTGAAATGCACAATGTGTATCCAAACTTTGCACATTGTATAGACACTGAAAAGGAGCCAAGATTAGCTGTAGTTCCACAGTTTATGCATAAGAAATGACAAGTGGGTTTGCAGCCTAATTTGCTCTAAAACGTACAGCACAGCTCTGGAAACACAGCAACGATGCATAGAGATTATGACTTTCATAAACTACTGTTTTGAAAAGAGTGATCTGAACTAGAAGCGCTAGGCTAGTATGGTTGCCAAGCCGCCGGTTAGGGTTGCCAGCTCTGGTTTGGGAAATACCTGGAGATTCTAGGGGTGGAGCCTGAGGGAGGCAGGGTTTGAGGAAGGGAGGCACTTTAATGGGCATAATGCCATAGAGCCCACCTAACAAAGTGGCAGTTTTCTCCAGGTGATCTGATCTCTGTTGCCTGGAGATCAATTGTAATCCCAGGAGAACTCCAGCTACCATCTGGAGGCCGACAGCCCTACCTCCAGTGGCGGCAGGGGATCCCAAGCTCTTGTTGGTGAGCCTCTGTTCCAGGTAGGAGGGGCAGAGTCCCAGGAGGGGGGAAAAAACTGAAAAGAAAAATAAGGCCTCATCCGCTTACAGGAAGTGCTTACCATAGAGTTTCTGGGAATTGCAGGGAACTCTAATGGTACGAACTTCCTGTAAGTAGACAAGGCCTTATGTTCCCCCCCCCCCCCCCGGATATTGCCCACCTGCTGTCCCAGTGCCTGGCGAACCCACCTTGCAAATACTTGGAGTTTTGTGGGTTGGTGCCCGGCGAAGGGAAGAGCTCAGCAGGGGCATGATGTCATTAAGCCTACTCCCTGAAGCCGCTATTCCCCCCTTCCTCCCCGCCCCCAAGAAGTGATCTCTGTATTCTGGAGATCAGTTGTAATTTGGTGAGAACTTAGTAACTAGCCTTGGAAATCAGGCCCTAGTTCTGGCTCTTTGCTCAAATGTTTACACATGATGCACTATCGCTTCTCATGCAATGGATTTTCAGCAATGCTGAATGCAGTATCACTGATGTTCCTATGTATCCAGGAGTTTCATGCAACCAGTATTCTGTCTTATTCCATGCACAGGCTGCAAATTTAGCAAAGCAGCTGCCTAGTCACAGAAAAGAGTGCACAAACACCAGGTAGCTCATATGTTAAGACACTCATGATTAAGCTGGGTGGAGTTCCAGTGTGGCCTGGGCTTTTTCAGCAGCACCTCACACAGCCAATAGTGCACCCAAACTGCCTTTCAATATTATGATACATGTTAAGGGTAATTATTGATCTCCATTTTTAACCAATATTATATTAAATTAACCATCATCTACTTGCATTGAAACCTCCCCTGCTACTAATTTTTGTTCGCCTCCTTTAGCCACAACTAGTAAGAAATTAGGCTGGCGTCACAGTGCAGAATTCCTCTTCCAATCCTATCCCATCCACTTTATGGATACACTCAATTGCTAGCACCACATTTATTGCCGCTTACCTGCTCCTGGAGCTCTGCAAGCTGCCTTGCTCTTTCCTGCTCTGAGTCCTCAGAAGAGTCATCACTGCTGCTTCCGCTAGAAACAGGTACCTTTACTTGTGCCGTGAAATGCAAGGGAGGCCTAGATGTAGTGGGATCATCTGGAATTTTGGCAAATTGCATCTCAAAGACATCCTTATGGGAAAAGATATGCTCAGTTTAAAACCTCTTCTGCGATCCAGGTCCCTTCAATGCAAGTTTGAGTCTCGTGTGAAGACACTAGGGAGTGCCTTCTCACTGGGATTTCAGAAGGGCCATTGAAAGTGCCGCTGGCACACTCACCTGAAGTTTCCTTGCCATTGCTACCACTTCACAGTCAGGAGAGTTGTATCTGTAGCAGTTCATAAACATTAGCCTAACATCAGCAGCAAATTCTTGTATGTCTTTATATTCGTAGTTTTCCATTTTTTTCTGTGAAGAATAGAATGGCTTGAGATTCAAAACTGTATCACAATCAATATTTGGCCATCTCTTTAAGCACTATAGAATTAATATTTATTTGGTGGACTGCAGGGTTACAGAATAGTGAGCCCTTTCAATCTTCCTAAGTTACAATGTTTTATTGTTCTGTATAACCCTGTTTAGTTAAGTAAAGCAGGAATAAACATCTATGATGGTGCTTGACAAGGATTGTCAAACATCTGGTATAGGCCTATATCTAATAATTGTAATTATTGTATGGCATTGTGTGTAGTATAGCCAGGATATCCTAAGATTGTCTGGCAGCCAGAAGTTCTAACTCTTCAGCATTGTGCACCACTAGGTGGTGAGCTAGACTTGCTTTTTTGAGGCAAGAGACATTTAAGAGGTGGTTTGCCATCCCGCCACTGTATCACAACCAATGCTCCCTCTATGCCGTGGAGTCTTGTGAGCAAAAATTCTACTTTGTGAGTTCCTGGCGTTAAAGTTATGAGCGAGCGACTTGGCTGCTGCATAAATTAGTTTGCTCTGGCACCATCCTTCCTGAGCTAAGACAAAAATGTGTGAGCTGGAGGCTAAAAAACCGTGAGCAAGCTCACACTAACTCAGCTTAGAGGGAACACTGATCACAACCCTGTTATTCCCGTCAAGGTCGCCCATCCAAATACTAGCCAAGGTCGACCCTGCTTAGTTTCTGAGATCTGATGAGATTGGGCTTGCCTGGGCCCTCCAGGTTACGGCAAGCCTATACCTGAAAGCAGGGATAGGCAATCTTTTTGGCACTAGTGCAAAGAGAGAGAGAGAGAGAGAGATCTACCTGTGAAGATGTTGGTGTGCCAGCAAATAAGATGGGGTTGGGGAGAGAGATGAGGGTTGCACTTGGCCAGACACACTTGGAACAAGCCAATCCCCAGTGGTGCTCCCAGCGTCTTAAGGCTTGGCTAGTGGCTGTGCAGGTCTGGGAGTCTAAGCTGTGGAGTCTTGTGAGCAAACATTCTACTTTGTGAGCTACTGGCATTGAAGCTGTCAGCGGGTGATTTGGCCACTGCATAAATTAGATTGCTCTGGAGCCATCCTTCCTGAGCTCAGACAAAAATGTATGAGCCAGAGGCTAAAAAACTGTGAGCTAGCTCACACTAATTCAGCTTAGAGGGAACACTGAAGGAGATGACGGTGACGGGCATAAGCCATGGCTGTTGCCTTCTCCTGCACCACTGGCCCCAGCACCGCTGTCAGTGTCTTGGCCGCTTGGATGGAGATACCAAGCAAAATGGAGGATACCAAGCAGCATGCTACTGCTGGCACATGTGCCTGGGGTTTCCCTACCCTTGTCTTAAAGTGTAGCCAGAAAGGATATCTTTCAAGATATCTCAAGGTCCACATTTGCCCCTGATGCATCAGCTGTCAGAACCCTTTTGTCACATTCTAATCACCTTTTGTCTAAGCAACAGCACCACCTCTCCACTGACCTTTCCTCTAGCCATATTTTCCTCTCCAGTCCAGAATGTTATCTTTCAAAGATCTCTATCTCACAGGCTCCAGTTGTGGATTCTCTTCAGTGTAGTGTTTTATAAGTGCCTGATGTTCTGAATTTGAGTTGGACATCTCCTGGTTGGTATGTCAGTCTGTGCACCAATTACTGCTAGTCCATATGGATTAGTAAAACTAACCTGGACAGCGCAACATGGACACACTGTTGCTGGCTTAATATGTCAATAAGATCTCTAAATCTCCTCCCCATTCTGAAGTATCTCTGATGTGCTCCCTGGTTTAGCATTATTGCTATTGCTGGAAACAACATCTGGGGGGGATGGTGACATTTTAAACTTATGTGGAAAAATGCATTCCACTTTTGGCTACAATTTTGGGTCTGCAAAACCACCATTCCCAGAAGTTTATCAGTCAGTATAAGGATAGGAAACAGGACAGCAGTTCACTGTTTTCAAACAGTCCCCGGCCCACTGATGGCTGTCATAAGCACCCAGTACAAAGGCTTCATTATGCAAATATTGCTAGCCAGTAGCAAATAATCAAAAGGCCTTCTCACGACCTGGCAGAAATATGACACCTGGGAGATGACAAGAGACTCAAGGATGCCGAATGCTAGATTATCTCTTTTCTTGGAAAGGACTGGAAAAGAAGGATTGACCCACAAAGGGGGTGAGCAGACAAAGGAGTTAAATTTCCTGGACACAAGGAGAATGGAATCCATTTTAAGAAGTCTATTCTGAGGATAAATTGGAGGAAGGACCTCTCAGTGTCCATCCTGATGGCTGCCATTACCATGTAGAGCTTACAAAGGACAGGCAACCTGGACAAAGACTCAAGGTAATGGATGACTGATAGAACACTGTAACTTTAAGAGTAAAGTGCCTACCCTAGAATAACAACAGTCAGGATATGTTTAGCAAAGGGACAGAGGATTGTGTGTATGCACCTTTACTTTGTAACCTTGCTCAGCCCATTGCTGTACAGAGCATGTATGCACATCTTCATTTTCTTTTTAGTAAATTTCTTATTACTTTGAATGCTGGGAATGCTGGGACCCCACTCAAATACATTACTAAAAAAGTGCCAGGGAAGATAAGTAGTTGGTCAATAGATTACTGGATCCCCAGGAGCATGTAAGTACAGTATGCCTTCCATGTAAAAGATAGTCAGAGCAAAAGCAGAAGACATGGGCATTAGGTGGAGCCTGTAAATGGCAAGATGGACAGAGTTCCAGCCCTCTTAATGGGCAATATTCTAATCAACCAGTTGGTGGGCAGTGAAAATACCAGTGAGAAGTGGTGAACCCTTCTGAGAATCAGGAGGGCTCGGGAGAGTGATGTGCCACTGGCTGGAGCCCCAGGAGGGCTGTTGAGCGTCCCAACCTCTCAGAGGACCTAAAACAGAAGGCACTGATGGGCCAGCAGGGCATTCTGCAACAGCTTAGAAAAAGCATTATTTTTTTAGAATATATGCTAACTGGAAGAGGAGATCTCTCCTCTACACCATTCTTTGAGATATAGGATGGACCACTTTCTCAGGCAGGGATTATGCTATTACTATACTGTCTAGCCCACAACAAGTGCTCAACAGAAATTCAGGGCACTGCAAAGCTTCTTTTATCTTTGCTGTTGCTACTACTGAAGTAGAAACTCTCATGGTCACACCCTGGCAACTGAGGGACCAGATGGTACTAGTGATAGCAGGGAGATCTGGCCCAGAATCAACAAGTTGCCTTATACCCCAGCAAGCATGATAAAGCAACCACTCTGATTATTTATACTGTTAAGGTCCGCTCTCCCAGGGTTCAAACACACGGTAAGCCCAACATTTGTTGGGTCATGGGTGTGCAACCAGACTTGCAGTCAGATGTAAATCGGGGAAAATCAACAGTGCTCGTTAGCTCAGTGCTTGCGAGGGGGATGAAGGAGCTTCTAGCTTAACACCCACCTCCTTTTGCCAACAAAAATGGCAACAAGGAAGCTTTCACCCCTTTCTCTGGCTCCACATCTCCTTCTTTGGGCACGTGGAGCCAGATAAAGAAGTGAAAAGTCCCCCGCCCACACCATTCCAGCAGGTGAAAGCGTGGCAGAAGGGAAACCAGAAGCTCCTTCGCCCTCCCCTCACAGCACCAAGGAAATGAACATTATTTTAAAAGTGAGTTCCCCTAATGTATGTCTGGCTGCAAGTCTGGTCACATACCCATGACTGGACACATGCAAGGAGTATAGGGTTGGCAGGGAGCTTTCTGGAAGTGCGGGTGACATTACCATGTGCAAAATCCCCAGCATGGAAGTGATATCATCATTCTGGGGATGCCGTGCAGCAATGCTGTAGTATTTTGGGGCAACTATGGTTACCATAGAGTTTTGCCCAAAATACTAGAGTGTCACCGCGTGGTGTCCCCAGTGTGATGACATCTCTTCTGGGGACACTGTGCCGGGTGTTGGGGTGGGGCTCCCCCCTGCTAGCCAGCTGGCTGGCAGCGGATTGGAGCCTACCAAATCGGGGGATCCCCGCTCCCACCTGAGGGGTTGGCAGCCCTACAGGAGTATTGTTTATTTGAGCCTTAGAGACACTGCATACTGAAGGTCCCAGACCAGGGTAATTTTACATAACCCACCAGATTAGCACTCACTATACCAAAGCCAACTTACTTTAATAGTTCCAAGATCCATTGGATGTTTAATAACCATATGATAGTCTTCAAGGCCCACGACGGTAACATCTACTGGTTTATAAAAAGGCCAAGCGTACGCTGCATGCTTTTTTGAGAACATTTCTACAAGGATCGCATTACAATATTTCAGCTGTGCTGTCAGCTTTAGGTTTTTGATAGGTTCCGGAGGTTGCTGGGAGTCTGGCAAGTCTTGCTTTACTGGAGAACCTTCACACTCTTCTCTAGATGAGATCTTGGTAATTTTGGGCTCATTGGGGGCTGGCGAGGATTCACTGCTTGTGGTGATTATTGCAGTAGTAGTATCAGCCTTCCTTTTCACACCCTTTTCAATACCAAAACAGACGGTTGAACAAAAAGCGGGGTTGAAAAAAAGGGGGGGGGGGGGGGTTATAACACAGAAAAATCCATTTTAGGCACCTTTGTAATAAGGGAGCCATAAAAATCACAAAAGCATAGCCAATATCTGTTGAAGCCTTTTTATTCAAATGCTTCAAGTGGAGTGTAATTGTGAATTACCTTATCTTCCCTAATGAGATGTCTTTAGTCATCATTTAGGATGCTGGGATTGGTGGGAAGCAGTTATTTGTCTGTTTGCAGGCATGATGCCCACGCTCCCCAGTTTGCTAATCTATTGCAGGGGGAAAACTGACTTGAGTTTCCCCCAGCAATCAAACCATGAGTACTGAAGAATTCCCCCTCCCAACTAGTGTTATCACTACAATTGCTGGTGCAGGTGCCATGGATACCTTTTGTTGATGACCCTTGCACATTATCCTTTATTTTTGTTTCAGGTTTTTCTAGGCAGGAGCTGTTGTTCACTGGTTGAGCAACCTTTGCATATGGAAGTTCCCAAGGCTTAGTCCCTAACAGTTAAACGATTTTCTGGGTTGATTTACATTACAAAGTCCTCACAACCTCTACAAGGACTTTTGATCAGACGTGCCCTGGGACTTCCATACTCAGAACTTCATTTCTATGTGGACGTGATCCAGATCATGACTGCAGTGCATGGGAAAGTGGGCTGAAGACTTCCCCTCTCTATACAGTTTTTTTCTGACCAGAGACAGCCCCACAAAGAAAACTTATGGATAGTCATCAGTCTGACTGAAAGTCCTTATGGCAGCCATGAGGACGTTAATGTGTGAACTGACCAATCTGAGCCAGGTAGCAGGCACTGCGAAAGACTTCTCTTTCTCCCCGAGACCCTGGCATGCTAATTCCTGGTCAGAGATGACAATACTGAGCTATGTGGACCAATAGTCTGAACTGGTATGAGCATATACATCTATATATCTAGTTCTCAAGTGCACCCCCCTAACTGTGGATAGCTAAATCTGCAGATAGGGAGCACACTTAACTTAAACAGATGTTTCAGCAAACTTGGGGGACCCCCTAGGTTTGCAGAAAAATCTGACAATAAATAACAACATGGGGAGGTGTTAAACTCTCCCCCAAAATAAAAAAGCACTATCTGTGCATGCACAGACCTGGTGGCTCCTGCCTGGAGTTGTGCCAGGCAAGCCACCGAAAGAGGGGGCCTCACTGGATTGCCCGGAGCAGTTCTGGGTGAGCCACCAAGAAAGGCGGGGGGAGGGTGAGAAGTCAGGGGAAAGTCTGCTGACTCACCCAGAGCTGCACTGGGTGAGCCACAGAGAGCGGTGGGTGGGGATGGAAGAGCCAGCTGGCTCACCTGGAGGTGCTCCAGGCAAGCCACAGAGAACCAAAAAAAAAAAAGAGAACACCACTTGGCAAAAAATAACTAACAAGCAAATAAGCAAGTATATAATGATCAAATAAACATAACAACAAGTGTAATGTAAATCAAATAAGCCTAACAACAAGTATGATATAAATCAATAGGCCAAAGTGCAAAGATAATAGAAACAGTCAGAGTCTTCTCTAGCATAGAGGCAATATCAAAGTCCAAATTGGAATGCCAATCATCAAATTTTCTGAGCCATCAAAAGCCTCTGAGCCATCAAAAGCCGACACGTAATCCGGATGCCTGAAGCCACGTTTCGAATCGTTCTTATTCAAGTATGGCTGTAATGGGACCCAGTCTCAAAAACTGGCATATGCTAAGCCAGAATGATCAGTCAAGGAGGATTAAGGGTCCTGTTGTTATGTTTATTTGATCATTATATAAAAAAATGTTGTTATGTTTATTTGATCATTATATACTTGCTTATTTGCTTGTTAGTTATTTTTTGCCAAGTGGTGTTCTCTTTTTTTTTTGGTTCTTACATAGTACACTGGCTCCCCCCCCCTTTTTTAAGCCACAGAGAACAGCAGAAGAAGGAGAAACTAGTGGCTCATCTGGAGCAGCTCAGGGCAAGCCACGGCGGGGGCGGGGTGGAGGAAGACTGTGGTGGCTCACCTGGACAAGCTGCTGAGAGTGGTTATGGGGGGGGGGTGAAGCCTCAGGGGGGTGATGGACAGAAAAAGAAACAGTGCTGGGGTAGGGGTACAGAAAGAGAAAGAGGGTGACGGGGTAGGGGGCAGAAAGAAAAAGAGTGAAGGGGTAGGTTGCAAAAAGAGCATTGTGATGTATGGGGCAAAGAGTAAGAGATGGGTGACAGGATGGAGAAAGAGTGAAAGGCAGAAAAGTAGGGGAAGAGGGGAGGAAACAAAGCAGGGGAATGCCCCCTCCCCACAAGTTTCTTGCAGGTCCACATTTGTTTAAGACGTTTTAAAACAAGTGTTAGAGACCAAGCAGTCCCTACTATGTTGGTGCAGCAAGGAGAGTTGATCTCGCTTTTAAAGTGACTAACAGCAGCAGGGTGACACAATAGTATCCCTACAGCCATACCTAGAGATGTAAAATTTCCAGACATTTTGAAGCCATGCTTTCCCAGTTGTGTGTGTATAGTGGGGGACCAAATATATGCAATATTAGATTTCCTTTCAAACCTAAACTATTTTTACTGATTGTGCAGCATAAAATGCATCATTTATAACTTAGCATCTAATATCACACTATTTGGCACATTTGTAGAATTTAAAAGTACAAGGATCTTCATTTTCTGTAATAAAAACTGCAAACATAACCAATACTTGTGAAAGAGTTGCAAACTCTTGCACCCTGTGCTACCATAGCATGTGTATCTTTAATGTTTGCCATCTGAGAAGGGGGGAGGGATAAATAAAGAAGACAAAAAACATTCTGGAGCAAACAAAACAAACTATTATTTGGATGAGAACTCTCTCCTAGAGTCACAATAGGTAGCCTGTGCTCCCCTCCAGTTGCTACCCCGGCTCCAAAGAGCTGTTAGTGTCTCTTGCTGGTCACTGAAGGCAGGCAGACTGGGTGGCAGCAATGGGTGCAAACAGGGCTATTTTTGGGCAGGAATGCACAGGAACGGAGTTCCGGCTGGCTACAGAGGGAAGATAAGGAGATCAACCCCCCCTCCAGCAACTACGAGGCGGGCAGGCCAGGGGGCCCTGGAAGGATCGGGGTGGCATTTAAATGACTCCCCGCACCTTCCCCGGCCTGTCCAAGGGCCAGCTTGCTCGAGCTCCGCACAGCCGCGGGGCACCCTGGGAAGCCATGGAAAGACATGGGATGTGGCCTATTATGCTAAAAAGCTGTGCTGCCAGGGGCGTGGCCTAATATGCTAATAAGTTTCTGCTGTTGGGTGTGTCCTATTATGCTAATGAGTTCCTGCTGGGCTTTTTCTACAAAAAAAACCCTTGGGTGCAAACTATACCCTTTTGCCTCCTCCTTGGTGGGCCCCTACTGATTTGGTATCTCTGGATGATGAGTGGTATGGCCCTGACCACAGCTATACGCTTGCCACGTTGCTGATAGGCAGTGAACAGATACATATTGCTGGATTGCACCGCTGTGAAGTTTATTATCTTTATCACCTAGAAAGACCCTTCATCAGTTATGCAATAGTGTCTTTTAAAAAAAAAACCTTGAGAGGAACACCCCTTCTTTCAGTACCCACTAGATTAGTTCACAGTTAGGATTCTGTTCTGTTTACACCATGATGAAATGATGAAATACAAAACAAGGACACAATCCATCTGCAAGGCTTGAAATTCCAAGTGATCCCTGAAGCATTACTCTGGTGGAACTAAAGGGATCTAGCATCACACCAGGCTGGACAGAAAACAGGAGATTCATAAGTTTCTCCCAGTAATAAGTTCTTTATCTCTATGGTGTGAGAACTACTGCAGAACTTCAGTCCTATGATTATTAGCTCTTTTGTCTTCAACACAGAGTAACTTAAAAGATGATGCTGTTAAAGTGCTGCACTCAATTCACCAGCAAATTTGGAAAACGCAACAGTGGCCACAGGATTGGAAAAGGTCAGCATACATTCCAATCTCAAAGAAGGGCAATGCCAAGGAATGTTCAAACTATCGCACAATTGCACTCATATCGCACGCTAGCAAGGTCATGCTCAAGATCCTACAAGCTAGGCTTCAACAGTACGTGGATAGAGAACTGCCAGAAGTACAAGCTGGGTTTCGAAGAGGTAGAGGAACTAGAGATCAAATTGCCAACATTCGCTGGATTATGGAGAAAGCAAGAGAGTACCAGAAAAACATCTACTTCTGCTTCATTGACTATGCTAAAACCTTTGACTGTGTGGATCACAACAAACTATGGCAGGTCCTTAAAGAGATGGGAGTACCAGACCACCTCACATGTCTCTTGAGAAACCTGTATAAGGGCCAAGAAGCAACAGTTAGAACCGGATATGGAACAACTGATTGGTTCAGCATAGGAAAAGGAGTACGACAAGGATGTATATTGTCACCTTGCTTATTTAATATATATGCAGAGTACATCATGCGAATAAAAGAGGAGAGCGCAAAGGTTAGCTTGAAACTCATCAAAAAAACTAAGATCATGGCATCCGGCCCCATCACTCCTTGGCAAATAGAAGGAAAAATCGTGGAAGCAGTGACAGACTTCACGTTCCTGGGATCCCAGATCACCGCAGACTGTGACAGCAGCCATGAAATTAAAAGACGTCTGCTCCTTGGGAGGAAAGCGATGGCAAACCTTGACAGCATAATAAAAAGTAGAGACATCACCCTGCCAACAAAAGTCCATATGGCCAAAGCAATGGTATTCCCAGTAGTACTGTATGGCTGTGAGAGTTGGACTATAAGGAAGGCCGAGCGCCAAAGAATAGATTCTTTTGAATTATGGTGCTGGAGAAGACTCTTGAGAGTCCCCTGGACTGCAAGGAGATCATATCAGTCAATCCTAAAAGAAATCAACTGTTATTGTCCCCTGGGAGGCCAGATACTGAAGCTGAAGCTCCAATACTTTGGCCACCAAATGAGAAGGGAGCACTCACTGGAGAAGACCCTGATGCTGGGAAAGGTTGAAGGGCAAAGAAGAACGGGACGGCAAAGGATGAGATGGTTGGACAGTGTTATCAAGGCAGCGAACATGAAATTAAGCAAACTCTGGAGCACGACGGAAGACAGGAGGGCCTGGCGTGATGTGGTTCATGGGGTGGCGAAGAGTCGGACTCGACTGTGCGACTGAACAACAAAAACTAATGGCCAATTTATTTCTTTGTTCTGCTAAGCATCTCTCTACAACGGTCAATCACAGATCAATTACTTCCTTCCAAATATGTCCTGTTTCCCTCCCTTCTTCTCCCCCCTGCCCATTTGGGAAGGACCATGTTCAAAACTTACTTTAATTACTGTTTCAGTAGTGGGCAGTGCATTTGAGGATGCAGTTGCAGGTGAAGATTCAAGGATGTTCTGCTTTGGTGTTGACGTCGCTGGAAGCCGCTTCACTTTCTTAGGTTGTTTCAGTTTAGCTTGCGAGATTCCAGTGTTAGGATGGTCATTACCTAATGAATGGAGCTTAAGTTGCATAATTAAAAGGCACGAGATATTACAATCTGAAAGCAGAAATACACATCAGATGAAGTTCTGCAGTTTATTTTCCTGACTGTTTTTAGCTTTTTTCAAAAAATCAGCCTCAGGGGCCAATATAAGAAGGGGAGAGGGAATAACTGTGTGGTGTTTTTCTACCAAATAGCACCTCTTTGTTTTTGCCCCTACTGGGAAAAATTTACAGGTATCTAGTTCCCAGAAGCAAGCAGCTCTCAGGTGGTGGTTTTAGACAGGAAAATGGCAGGGGGTTAAGTATCTGTTCTCCTACTCCGATCTCTCCCTCACAGCTTTCTGTGTATGTACTCTATCTTAAAAGTTGTTGGGGAAAACAGTTACAAAACAGTTACAGAACTACTTGAATTGTGTAGTTTTGGCCCCCATATCTTGCCTTCTAATATTCTTTACCACCATGTATTATATTGAAAGCCTTCATGATAGGTGAGGTCTTATTTCTAGCTGACTATCGAATCCTGAAAACCATACACTGATGCAGATGATAGCAACAAAAGACTGGGGTTCTACACAGAAGAAGACAGAAACACCACTGTACATTTAACAGCATACCAAAAATCACCCCCCCATTTAAACACTGAAAGCTTTTCTTTATCTGCTGTACAGTACATCTGTTTACCCTGCTTGTTCATTGGCTTCAGAAGCATGAAATGCTAGTAATAATTCATAACAGCTTGATATTTTTTTTAAAAATGTAGCCATGTTTAATAGAATGTTAAAACTTACAACAGATCTGGTAGTATTATTTATAAAATGGTTGTAACTCAAATGCACTCAGTAGCTTTTACTGTTTGGGTTATAGAAGGATAGAGGGTAGTTGAGCACAGGCATTTTGTGAGCGTGCATAAGGATATATGCACATGCACTTCAGTGCATACATGTCAAGATAAATCACTAATGGAAAGAAATACACAGCTTCCAGAGGGCTGCGTAAGAGTGCTGAAATCTTGAAGAACTCTAGTGTATATGTGTATGCACAAACAGCACTTCAGTCATCTCAACTTCTCTTCTAAAAAGGCAAACAGATAATTATTTCCCATAAGCAGGTGCCACAAAACAGGGATTACCCTTGGAATTCATAATTCAAGTGGCAGTTGTTTCCAGGATAAACAAAGCAGCATTGAGCCCAATACTTTTGCGGTAATTTCAATATTATAGAAGGACTTAAATATTAAGAGAGTTTCACTTGATCACAAGTAATGCCACTTGCTTTGGACTTTCTAAGGATAGATTCACATGCCCATGTTTTTCATACAACTGCATTTTATCTTGTTAAAACTGAGTAATCTCAGTCTTCTTGAGGCTACAATAAGCATGTTGCAGATTAAGTAGTTTTGAAAATCCAGCATTATGATAGGGAAAGCATGAATGCAAACGCACCCTAATGCTATATTTGCATTGTTCTTCATCGTTAGGACCTGTGTGTTAAGTGCTGTCAACCTGCGTGTTAAGTGCTGTCAATTTATGGTGACCCAGTGGATTAATGACCTGCAAAACATCCTGCCATTAACAGTCTGACTCATAGAGGGCTGTGTCTGTCCAGTGGAGGGCTGTGTGAGTCAGTCCACCTCATGTTGGATCTTTTTTCCTACTGCCTTCAACTCTTCTTAGCATTAGTGACTTTTTCAGTGAACCTTGTCACACACTTTGGTAGTTTTTACCATAATTTCCTTTGCAATGAACTGGACATCAGTATTGTGAGAAAACTCTAAGATTTTCAGGTAGAACCAGATTCTGAACAGTTGTCACAAATGTCTGTTTTCCTACTGATAGTCTACTGGTCTACCTGGAGTTGCCAATGTAGTGTAGTGCCGTGGTTCTAGCTGCAGTTCAGCAAGAGCCCAGCATCAGCAATACCAGTTGCTGGAGAGATTTTTAAGTATTTGCGGTCAGATTTCTTTCCAGTGTGTAATATCTTACAGCAGTGTTTTGACTAGTGCTATCATCACCCTTCTAAAAACAATGGTTGCTTACGCAGCTACACAAAGACTTTCTTACCATCTGTTTTTTCCCCCTTTCCTTTATTGACCACCACAACTTTCTCTTCTGGGGGCATCTGTGCAATTTTTTGCAAAAATACTTTTTCTAGCGCCTGTGCCATGAAAACAATGTCATCACCAGGCTGCAAGAATAAACACACTAATCAGCTACTGGACAAGATCCTTATGTTCATATCACTAAAATGTGCCCACTATGTCACAATAAATTGATAGTCCATGCCTATAGACCTGTGACTCCTTTTACTATAAAGCACCTACTCTGCTTTTTAAAACTTCATTGAGTGTTCCTTGTGGTCCTAGTGCTAATCTTGTATATCCTACCCCTAGAACTGAAGAACTAGATTTTAAAAACCATTTTATCCAATAGTATAGTAAGTGACAGCACATTTACCAAACAGCAAATCTAATAGGCCACCCACAGACACTAGGGGTTTCTACACACTAATTGAGTGACTTCCTAAAAAAGCAGAAAAATGTAACAGAAAATTGGGCAAAAGATTCGACTTCTGGTTTATGGCGGCACGCTAGCAGACTCACCTCCCGGACCTCCCGGGGGTGAAGCTGTGCTCCAGCCGAAGGAGGGGGTGCGCAGGCTCGCTTACCCCCCCAGAAACCCGGGGAAGGGACTCTGGCCATGGAACTTATAAGAGGTTGCCTCTTCGAGGGCGGAATGCCGGAGATTTGAGGCACCTCTTTGTTCCGACGGTTCTCCGTGCTGTGAGAGATTTAGTGATGCTGACCGCGGCAAGCGTGGGAGATCGAGCATCAGAAATGAACCTGAAAGCAAGGTCGAATGACCAATTATGAACGTGAGTCAGCTTTAAAGCGTTTTTAAAGGGAAAAAGCTAGCTCCCCACCCCACCGAACGGGAAAAAGGCGAGCGGCGCCTCCCAAGCACATGAATTTTTGAGCAACTGAGGGGGGGGGGAGCGGAAATGCGAAGAAAACTGTTGAGAAGTACTTACCAAAGCTAATCTAAGCGGTCAAGTGCACATTCAGAGACTTGTAAAAAAATTGTGAAAGTAAACAAACGATAAAGATGGCGGGGAAGAAGGACAGAGAAAAACTTTTGAACGTGAAAGGCTTAGAGAGCCCAAAACAGGAAGCTACCAGTGAGGTGGCTAAGGCTATAGCAGAGTATATGCGTCCTCTGCTGGAACAGCTGAATAACTTCAAGGAAC